AGACCGACGCATTTACCATTTGTAAAGTGCATGCGGTCTCCTATTCCTTTCTTCATACTTCTAATGAATCTCTCTGCGGCATTCGCGTGTGTCATTGTTTTCTTTTAACTCATACCTAGACTATCTAAATATTTTTTGACATCCGAGTAAAATGCTCCGTCATCATCACTATAAAATTCAATTGGCTCACCCATTATTTTAAAAGACTGATTCAAAGCATCTACAGCATCAACACTGGTTCTATTTTTCATAGGAACAACATTACCTAATTTACTGAAAGCATGAATTGCAATTAAAGCATATCTTTCTTCACCTTCTTTCTTAAATATGTTCATATCCATAACATCTATTTGAAATTCTGCTCGGGCATAAGGCACTAAGAAACTATTATATTTTTGATACGGTTTAATTTGTTCATTAGGTTGCGTTTTCATAAACTGTTTTACTTCTTCTAATATTATACCTGCTCTCTTTTCTTATGCTTGTTCATACAACGATTTAACACTGCCATAACCCTTTTCTAAATCATAATTGTATTGTTTAACGCTTGTTCATTAATTCACTCATATAATGCTGATTAGTTTTGATTTTAATTGTGTTTTTAAAAAAATAGTAATCAAATTCTTTCTCTTGCTTCTAGGCACTTTCTAGATTTCTCGTGTCTTTTGATATTTGAAGAATTACTCATCGTTTTTCCACAAATATTACAGGTGTGTGGATGGTACTGCTTTTCTTGAAAGTATTTGCTTTGATATGCTTGTTCCTTTGTTTTCTGTGGTATATCTTCTTCACTTGATGTTGGTATTCCATCCACATCTGAACTATCATATTGTTTTTGAATGGCTGCATCAAAGCTGCTGAAAGCATATAACCTACTAAAGAAGTTGCTGTAATCTTCTTCATCTTCTATACTACCCAAAAACCTATCACTTCCATCATTAGAATGTCTGCTGTAGAAAGGCATTTATTATCTTACAATATTATGTAATCATTTCCTTAAGTTTCTTGTATTTCTTCTTGCCTCGGCTACTTTTTGTGTCAGCACTTTCTGGGCTTCTGCTCCTGCTTCTTGTTTCCACGTGTTCCCTCGTCTCTTGCTATTTCTTCGGGTGACCGACTTCTGCTTCTTGTTTCCATTTGTCTTATACTCCATTGATTACCTCTTGCTCTTTCTTCTGGTGACCGACTTCTGCTTCTTGCTTCTACCTGTCGTCTTGTCCAGAATGCGGCAGGTTGCAGGCATTCAGTGGCATCGCAGTCACCAGCAGCACCTTGCACCCATGGTTTGCCCTTGACTGTTTGAGAGGTGCGGGCCAACGCCATCCCTCGAGTGATTTCATAGCCTATCCAACTAACTGTTTCTTTCCAGTTGCGGGCATCTTGCAATTCGGATTGATGATTTGCCTGAAACTATGCCTTCCTGGCCATGTGAGGTACAGGTGATCGACAGCTACCGGACGTTTGGGCAACCATGCGAGCCTCTGCCCAGAGCTAGCTTCCCAGCACGGCCTTCGCCTTGCCATGTTTCAGACGCCACCGCGATGGCTTCGTCGTTGGCTTGCTCTCCTGACTCACTTCTACCGGATGGTGGACACGCATGAGCGTCAAGATCTGCGACCAGTGCGGATCGAGATGGGTGATGAACCAACAACGACTTCATCCCACACAAGCCAAACCCAGACTCCGGCTTATTGAAAAGATTCAATAATTTTGGCATGTTTCAATAGTGGGCCTTCATTTCAATAAGAAGCACTGTTTTTATTGAAACAGCATGTGCGAAGGTTATTGGTTTGTAAGTTACATTTCAACAGCAGGTATTATTGGTTTGCAAGCCCATTTCAATAAGACCAGATAGCTGTTCCAGCCCCTAAACATTCCTCAGCCCATGCCCAAACCCATGCCACAGACGAACCCACTTTGTGGCTCTATGTTGTTTTGATGGAAACTCCATGAAACTACCATATAAGGGAACAAGCCTGGATCTTTGGGCCTGCCATGCCAGGGGTTCATCAAGGCAGCCACTGACAAGAAATGAAGCTGCGCGCAGCTTACATCAAGTGCCAAATCAACTTTCACAAGTTCACAAAGCGGTTGCTTTCGCAAAAAGCTATTGAAAGGCAGAAGCCCTTGTGCAGGGCCTCTCAGCGCACAGCAGCTCGCTCCAACTTTTCACTCTACATCTTCTCCCTCCTGGTCAACGCAATGGCCTGTGAGCCTGAGCCACAGCCCTAGCCTGAACCTCCAGCAGACCTTCTCAGGCACAATGTGGTTAGGGGTGCCATTTAGGCAAGCGTGCGCCAGGGATGCCATGAAGCCCACCATGGTTTCACCAGTGTAGGTGGTGACATACTTGGGGTTAAGGAACTGGGCTTGGTCAGCCATGTGGGCAAGCAAGTGGTGCTTGTGCACAACATTCCATTGCAGCAGGCCCTGCTCCATGCACATCTTGCTGCATCTCACATAATGTTGCAGGAAAAGGTCAGTGTGATTCTTGAAAGCTAACACTCCTTCCTGGGCAGGTGCATGTGCCCAGAATCTATTATGTCAGAAACTGCTGCCAAGTTCTGGAGGCAGCGCAGCCTCTGCGTGGTGTATGGCGCCATCTCGTCTGCGTGCTGCTGGCAGAGCTCTACCACACATGGAACCAAGTACCTGATGCGCCTGGCCTTGAAGCCACTGAGATCAGGAAAATTCTTATATTTGCTCTTTGGGTTGCAAAGGTTGCTGAAGGTCAGCTTGGGGATCCTGTTGGAAGATGGCATGCCAAGCTCTTCATACTGCTTCAGGATCTTGTGGAACAAGGCTTTGAGCCTGGCTTCCTGCACGCCAGCCCACCCAGGCTTGATCACCCAATCGAAGAAGCAGTTTGCAAGTGCATGGGCGGCAACGCCTTCCTCAATGATGTGCAAGGAGTCATAAGCAAAAGTTTCCCCAACAACACCAGGAATTTTGGAAATCACATGGCTTGTGCCTTTGTGTTTGGTGACAGTCTTTCTCCAGGCTGCGCTGGCCCTGAAGTCATTGTAAGGTATGTCTGACCTGTTGGCCTGGCAATTGAAGCAGCACTCGTTGGAGCTTGCACCTTTCAACTTGTATTCATTTTGGAACCACTCGCCATCTCCAGTCATAGCAAACACACAGGCACTGAAGCCATTGGCAGATAGCGGCTGCCCTGCCAGGTCTGCCCTCTTGGAATTTGGGGGCACTTGTTCTCGTTGTGGTCCTTCTCAGGGTGCTTATTGTACAGCAAGAAGCTGAAGCTCCACTTCAGAATTGACCAAATGTGGTGCATGGTGTTCTCGTCATCACCACCATCCTTGTTGGAGCAGTACTTTGGGATTGCTGCCAGCAGTAGTGTGCCACATTTGCAGAAGACAGCAGGCTCCTCATGCTGATGACAGTGATGGAATCATGCCTTTGAAAAGCACCACCATCGCCATGCACGGGAGGCAATGTGTCAAATCCACCTTGCTGAGCGGATTGTTGATGAGCTTGGGATCACTCATATCATGGTCTGACCAGAAGCCATGGGCGTGGCCAAAGCCAGCCACAAGCTCTTAACCATCCTCATCCAGAGCAGGCCCCCCCATCCAAGCAAGCCAGTCATGTGGCAAAAACAAAGCGATGGGTTTCAGTTGCACAGACACATTGCAGTCCACATTGCTCTTCACCAGCACTGGCACATCAGCTATGTATGGGCTTGGCAGGTGGTAGCTGCTTGTCTTGCAGTACTTCAATGTGATCTGCTCAGCAATATGCTGTGGCTGCCTTCCAAAATTGCCCAAGCTGGCTAGCTCCACAATGTCAGCGCCAGTTGCCCCAGATTTGGTAGCAGCCAGGGCAACGCTTTGAATGGAAGGCCCTGGGCTGCCACAGGCCACACAGGAAAGCGCACCAAAGCTGAACAAATAGCATACCCTGACCATATCAGGCCTGCAGCCAAGGTGCAGAAACTCCATTTGCAAACTGCACTAGCAGGCAAGCAGCCAACGGGCTTAGTTCCTCAGCAGGCTGCTGCTCTTGCATGACCTCATACTTCTTTCTTTTCCACTTTGCCATTGCTTTGCAAAAGGGAATGGGAGCTTGCGCGCAGGGGCCTGCTGTTTGGAGCCAAAGTTCCAGGATGCCAAGGTCAAATGGGGTAGCTGCAAGCCACCTGCCCCAAGCTTGTCAACATCCACTGGGGGAAACAGCTGCGGGCACTGGGGGGGGGCGGGGGGTGGCTACCCAACACGGCTTTTTCCTTGCCACCATCCACTCAAAGCAACCAAGAAACGCACACGAAAACTGCTGGGAACTTGCTCGAGCAGAGCTGGTTCCTACTGTTACTTCTTCTTCGCTTGCTGTTTGCTTTGGCGTCTTCACAGAAACTCCCTGCATCAATGCTGCAGCAAGAAAAGCGAAAAGCTGCCAGCAAACTTCTGCAAGTCAAACCGAACCTCTTTGAGTTTCCCTGCTTCCCAGCGCAATTCACAAGTGCACATGCCCCCCTCCCCATGGCCCACAGCGCGTGCAGCATTGTGAAAACATTGCAAGAACAAACAGGGGTTCTCCAAGAATGCTTTTTGAGCTCAACAGGCTTTTAAGTGTCAACATAGGAAACTGTGGACACTGCGGCTAACAGTTACAGGCATGCTAAAAAGTCCTTTGAAACCTGTTTGGAAGCCCTTGGGCAGGGCCCCCAGGGCCCCAACCCTTTCTGAACACCAGCATAGCCTGTACCTATATTGGTCAACCAGCAGAAACAGTAATGTGTGTTGAAAGGCAATGCTACTTTAGGACTTCTACGTGCAGCGGGCCAGCCAGCTACACTGCACACTCTGAAGCTTGAACATTGCCCAACAGCAATCCTGCCCGCCAACATTTGTGCGCAACAGCTGCAAACCCAAATCTGCAGTCTGCACGTTTTCTCCTTGTGTCCCTGCCTTGTGCTCAAAAAATCTTTGCCATGCAAGCGATGGCAATTAATGCCCCTGAGCTGCTAGAGCCCCGAAGCCTTCCTACTTCTGAGCCGACCGAAACTTCTTGTACTTCTTCACTGCCACGGCCGCGTCAAAGAGGATGCCCTTGACAGCCTCCATGGAAGTCTTCTTTTTCTCAAACTTCTCCAGCTCCTTGAGGGGGCCGCTGAGGATGGCCACCTGGTCACGGCTGCCTTCTTTTTTCAATTTCAGCAGCAGCTTCTTCATCCTGTTGATCCTCGTGCCTGTCTCACTCTTTGCCATGCCAGATGATGACAAGATCTCAGCCTCAGCTTCCTCAGGGTCTTCCTTCTCTTGGCCTGTGGTGCCTTGGCTCTCATCATCGTCTTCATCCAGGCTCTCACTGTTCTTGTCCTTGAGCTTGAGCTGCTTGGTAAGGCTCTTCCCAAGGTTCCTGGAAATGGCTGCCTTAGCTGAATCGCCCTCATCAGTCCCTCCAATGCTCTTGGCCTTCAACTCCAACCACTGGCAAGCCTCCATCTTACCAGCTTTGCTGCCTTCATAGGTGTGGCTGTGGCTGGTGTCTTCATAGCTGGTGGCCTTGTTGAGTTTGAACTCCCACTCATCATCATCATGAAGTGCCTTCCTGCAAGCAATTGTCCCTTTATGGATCCTCCTCATCAGCTCCTGCAATCCATACTGCCTCATCATCTTATTGAAAGGCACCCAGCTTGACTCCTTCCTCTCCCCAGAAGTCTTTGACAAGGCCACCAGCTCCTTCATGTAGTGGCTGCACCCCTTCAAGGTCCCACCATTGTTGAGCTTTTTTTGGGCTCCAGGCTGCCAGGCCCCTTGCACTGTTGGTTCCACATAGCATCAGCTTCTGGGTCTTTCATGGAGCCCCTGGCATGAGCAAATCTCTGCCAAAGTGTCTTCTTCTGGTCCTTGCATAGGCTCTTGAGAAAGGCGCCCAGCTCAATGAAAAGGTAGAGAGGCAGGCTTCTTGAATGGCTTTTGGCTCTTTGACAGGCTTGGTCTGCTTCTGGTTGGCATCCTTCTTGACCTTAGGGGCACTCTTCTTCATCACCTTCTTGGCCATTGCCAGCCAGATTGAAAATGCAAACACTCTGAACACTTTGAACAATGGCTCTCACAAACTGGGCTGAACCCAGAAATGGCTGCAGAAATGCGAAAACCTCACATGAGATCACATGAGAATATATGAGACAACACTGTCTCATACGAGGCTAAAATACCCTCATATGAGGCAAAAATACCCTCATATGAGATAACCCACCCTCACATGAGATCACATGAGATCACATGAGGATCACATGAGATCACATGAGATTCAGTCATTTTAAACATGTTTGAGCCCTTGGACAGGGCCCAAATGCAATTTGTTCTTGCCTGGAACACACACACAAAATCATTTAACAAAAACGCATTTGGAACAGAACTTCTCCTGGTTTGGTTGGAGCCCTTGGGCAGGGCCAGCCAACCCAATTCCCCACCCCCCCCCCCCAGCACAGCACTTTTTTTGCAGGAAGAAACTGCATCCAGCTTGTTCAGGATTTTCTCCTCTTCTGGGAATCTTTCTTCCCCTTTGGATCCTGGGACTCTTTTTTCCCCTTGTCCTTCCTAGGCGCTCCCTTAGGCTCAGGTACTGCCAGCCCACCATCTCCACCACCAGCTGCAGGAGCATCAGCTGAGCTACCATGCCCATCTGCACCATCTGCAGGAGCTGGGCTGGCTGCATCAGTTTGACCATCGCTTGGGGCAGCAAGATTTGAAGGAGGTGTAGCATGTCCACTGGGTGCTGCTCCTCCATCTCCAGCACCATCTGCAAGTGGCGCTGCTTGTGGATCCTGGACATTGTTGGCTTTGCAATACTCATTCCACCTGTTTGATGGGTGGTCAGAGCAAGCTGCATTCCTGCACCCGTGGAGCCACCCGGCATATGTCCAAGAGGAACAGGTATGGCATCTTCTGAAACCTCTCCACGAAGCAGCCTGGTTCTTTGCCTTATTCTTCAAGCTTTGCCCTTGCCATTGTCCTTGCTGGTGCTTGCCTTGCCAGCCGTGCTGAGGCCATTGTCCTTTCTGAGGCCATTGTCCTTGCTGAGGCCATTGTCCCTGCTGAGCTTGCCCTTGCTGACCTCCTTGCCCATCATGCCCATCATGCCATGCTGAGGCCATTGTCCAGCATGCTGAGCTTTTCCCTGATGATCCAGCTTGCTGAGCTGTTCCCTGATCAGCTTGTCCAGCTTGGTCTTGCTGAGTTTGCCCATCACCCTGCTGATCTCCTTGCTGAGCTGGCCCCGCGCTGGCTGCTTGGCAAGGGTTTGGCATGCTTGGAGACGTGCCCCCCCACCAAGGCTGCACCTGCTGGCCTGCTTTGGCTGCAGCTGCCTGGGCCTGGGCTGCAGCTGCTGTGGCTGCAGCTGCTTGGGCTAGAGCGCTTTCCTGAAGCCTCTTGAACCTTGATTGGCCCATTGCGCCAAGTCGAAACATTCTGAAAGCAGCTCCAGGCTCTTGAAAGGACTGTGCTGGGTCGTCCTCACTCTCTTCAGAGGAGCTGCTGTCCTCCTTCATCATCTCAGTGAAAAACTTCAGCCTTCTGTTCTTCTCCTTTTGGGAGCCAGTCCTGTTCTTCTTCTTTTTCTTCTTGGCTGGCACCGTCAACCAGCTCTGCTGCAAATTTGGTGGCTGCCCACCACCTTGCCAGGAGGAAAGCCACCGCCCCCACCCATAATGAGGCCCAATGGCATCATTCCACCAGCAGGCTGGCACTGCATGAGGAAGAGCAAGCTCACCACTGAGATCATGGCTGCAAACAAAGCGCAGATGGAAGAACAGGGCCCACAGTTGAGGCCAAAAAGCTTCCTTGAGCTCCAAGCAGCTGTCGCAAACACAAAGTCAAACATCAAATGGCTCAAGTGACTGCCACGCACATGCAAGCCCCAAGTGCCTGCGAGCATGTGCAACGCTTCTACACAGAAACTGTCGCTCAAGCGCATGTGCCATCAAGTTGCTGCAAAGATGCAAAGCATGAGTTTGCAGCCAAAAGCATGGAGCTGACAAGGAAGCACCTCTTGCCCTGAGCCCTTGCAGGGCCCAGGGCATGAAACCCATCCCGCCAACAGATTGGTGCACAATTGTTTGCTCCAACCCTCGCGCAAGCAAATGTTGTTATACATAGCTGTTTGCCAAGTTACAACAGAATTGTCAATGCCCCCCCCCCACCCACGCAAAGCTTTTCCTGTCAGCGGGTTGCCCACTGCTTGCTCACCCTGCTAGGTCGAACTTGTCTGCCACCTCGTGGCAAAGACACAAGCACAGGCCCAAAGCCCCTGGGCAGTCATCTTTACAGGTCTGGCAAAAAACTTGTCCATCTTGGACAACAACCATTTGGTAAACATCAGCGCCAAAAGGCTGCACTTGGCTTGCCTTTGCCACTTGCAGAAGAGCCACCAGCTGCGTTGGGCAAGCCACCCTTCTTGCCCTTCTTGCCCTTCTTGCCCTTGCCTGTGCCCTTAGAGCTGCTGACTTCCCCAGTCTCCTCATAGGGGTCATCCAACACATAGGGGAAGGCCCTGTTTGACATGGCTCGAAAGAAATCGGAAGCCTTGAAAATGCTGCAGAGCTGCGTGGAACCATCAAGTTGCATGAGTGCCACATCCGTCTGCTGTCACACTTGGCTGGCCACAGCAAGTTGCACGCAAGCACAGGCAACACGAGTCTTTTTTGCTAAATCCACCGGCTGCGAGCAAAGCAAGGGAAAATGACACATCAGATAATCTTGTGCTTTTCAAGCAACTTCTCCCTAGCAGCCAGCACGCTTGCTTTGGTGGCGCCTGGCTTCTTGGCCGCATCAAAAAGCATCTCAATGATAGCCTTGTGGGTCTTGGTGGTTCTCTGGGCCATAGATGTGGCGCATCCAACCACAAGCTTCTTCTTGCCTCCAGAACCCCCTGGTTTGTGCTGAATGTAGGTCTGGTGCTTGCCTCCACCCATGGACAAGGTGGCAGTGTCCAGGGCTGTGTCCTGCTCAAGCTTGGCCTTTCTGTTGGGGCCAGCTTTCTTTGCTTTTGCGATGCGTGATGCCCTTGCGTGCTGGGCTTGTGGCAGAGTCTGTCCCCGCTTCCGTGGCCTTTTTACGCCACTCCTTCTTCGTCGCAGGTGGTGGCGAGCAGGCTGCAGCACTTGCATCACAGTCAAAAAAAGCACTCATGCTTCTGCCCATGTCAAGCTTTGTCTCTGAGCCGCGCTCTGAGTCAGAGACTTCCTTCAGCAAGGCGGGGAAGCCCTGCGAGTCCATGGTGACATCTGAATCCCGCGCCTGCAAGACTCTAGCTGGGCCACCCTGCGTCTGCTTGTACACCCTTTCCAGAATCTTTGCCTGAGATTCCTCAAGTTGACAGCAAAATCGAGCCCATGAAGCTGGGGAAGCTGTGGCCCTTCTCCAGTGGTTCAGCACAACCCCCACGCAATCAGCCACCATTCCAGCCAGGTGGGCTTTGTCCCCTTGAAACTGCAAAGAGCACAACTCTTCACCAAAACTATGCGTCAGTGTGGTGATGCTTTGCTTCAAGTACTTGTGCTTGATTTGGGCAGTTGGGCTAGCCCCCACCAAAGCCTCCAGCAGCAGGACAAGCTTCAGCAAGCTCTTGGGGCTCTCAGCTTGCTGGGGCTGCAGCTTCTTGTAAGCGTGCAAGTTGAAGGCTTCCTTGGCCCCGACGAACCTCACATATGTGTCAAGCTTGTCGTCCAGCACGGATTGGTCCACATCTGGGAAGGCAAGCCTTCTCATAGGCTTGGCATTTCCAGCGCCTGCGCAGGCGATGACAGTTCAAGGAAAGCTTCCGTTTGCAAGAAGACACCAAAAAAACCGCATGCTTCTGGCCTTGCGCCCTCTTTCTGGCTGCCTTCATCAACACCATGGCACAGCTGGTCAAGTCCTAGACAAATCTCTCAAAGAAATTGCTGCAAGCAACATGTTGATGCACATGCCAGCTATGCCGGGCAAGCAGTCCTTCCTTTTTTGATGCTGCTGGTGCCTCTAAAGCCTGGCTTTGTACACGCCAAGCGGGCCGCGGTAGTCTAGACCTCGCCTGGCTCTTGAAAGCGCAAAAGCTGTTTCTATCCTGAGCATTGTCCTCAAATGGTCTTTTTCCATGGCAGTGTAATTCCCAGAGAGAAATTGGAAAGTTTTCTGGGCAACATACTGCCAACTGGGAACACTCAGGCGCTGGTACATGTCAAACTCAGGGCTGTAGAGGAAAAAGGACAGCCAGCCAGCTGAATGCTGCCACACCAGCACATCATCTGCTCTAAACTCAGCCACAACTCCAGTCATTGCTGACAATGGCTTTTGAGCCCGCTTGGCTGCGCCACGCTTTGTTGGGTCACACCAAACATGGAGGGCAGCAGTGCCGCCCCTGCACCCTTATATGTACGTATAGCTGGAACACCTGACTGAAACGCGCAAACCAATATATGGCTTATTGAAGCGCGCAAACCAATAAGGCTTATTGAAACGCACAAACCAATAAGGTTATTGAAACACAAACCAATAAGGCTTATTGAAACAAACCAATAATCATTACACCTCAGAAATGCCACACATTTCAATAAAAAACGCTGTTTCAATAATGACATCACAAATCAATAAAATTATTGAATCTTTTCAATAAGGCGGAGTCTGGGAACCGCTCGGCGTGCCGGAGAATCTGCTCCCGAGCACGCGGAGGAGTGCGTGAGGGTTTGCAGAGACGGCCCTGACCTGGTTCAAGAACGACGAGAGCAGAGGGAGGACAATTTCGACCTGGAGAACGCCAACTGGGAGGCCGAGACGGTGAACAGGTGTTTCTGGTTATGTTTTAAACTGTGCCGGACAAGCGAGATTTACCGGTGCTGCTCAGTTTGTCGGAACTGACAACGCAATAAGTCTTAATAATGGTTCATTTTTAGATTTCAATAATAATGGTTCAATACGAAGATACACACCAGATGCTACACAAGGTTTAGTCACGGACTCACCGAGACAAGCGCCATGCAGGACGACGTTTGAAAGCTCAGGGCTCGGCGGATAAGCTTCTGAATGTGGAGGACTGCCACTTCAGCGAACTCCTCTCTGGACAACGACGAAGACTCCTGGGCAACGCCAAGATGCTCAAGCAGCTCTGGATGGCCGAGCTGGACATCTACGACAATCTTCTGATGAGCAGCCGCTCCCTCAAGAAGTTCAAGCTTGACCTGGTGCAGATTTACGGCGGCTATGCCAACGTCTCACAATGTGCACTACGACACGGACTCAAGGTGGGCCAACCCATTGACCGTGTACATGGAATCGAGCTTCGGTCTCGGAGTTCGTTTGAGATCATCCGGAAGCTCTTGCGAAAACGAGCTCCGAAAGCACGAAGGAGTCCTGGGTCAAGCAGACCGTCGGTCGCGCAGAAGAGATCATGGAAGACGGTGCCTACTTCCTTATCGAGAATCCCCAGGATAGCGCTATCTGGAGCACGGAGCTGCTGAAGCGACTTCTACGACAACCTGGAGTTCATGTCGGACATTGTCATCAGTGCCGGTTCGAACTGGACGCTTGCTCAAAAAGGCGACCACTTGGCGCACAAACCTCCCAGAACTTCTAAGATCGGTCAGATCTACCCATGGAAGCTCGCACTTGCCATCACCACAGGAGTCCAAGAAGCACTGAGGGCCCGGGGAGACGAACGTTTCATCCTGCCCAACAACAGACCTCGGCATGGTCAGACCAGGTGGCTATGTCATGGACATCACGAGCAGCAACCACTTCCGTGCGGCACGTCAACGTGATGCGGGACAAGGAGTCTTGGCGGCCCCTGTTGAAGGAGGCGATAGACCGCCTGGAGGGAAAGGTGGCAACCTTGGCAACGATAAAAAGAGACTCATGAACAAGTGCAGATGCTTGCGCCCTGAGCTATGTGCAGCTGTTTCGCACCCCGAAGGTCCGACGTTTGCCCACCAAGCAAGTGGTCTATGGAGAACACCCGATCACGCACAGGGCGGCCATCCTTCTGCATACCGACGACACGATCTCCATCAAGTCGGAGGCAATAGCTGCCCTAGACAACGTTGGGTCGATCGACCAGTTCGGATGTCTCCTTGGAGAATGCTTCATCCCGAACTATGTGGCCGCGCAGAGCGGAAAGTCACCTTTCCCGGTGACGCCAGTGACGGACGCCCGATCGCTGTTCGACGCGATCCACAGGCTCTCGACGAGCTTTGCAGAGAAGCGGGTGGAGATCGACATCGCCGGCTGAAGGCAGACTTGCCGGGCATTGAAATGGGTGCACACGGAGGTGATGCTCGCCGATGTTCACCAAGAGATCTGGCAAGTTGCGGGACAACTTCAGGAAGTGGATGGCGAAGCCGGAGATCAGCCTGACCGAGTGCAAAAACGCTGAGAAGAACACCGATAGCTCCAAATGGAGATGAATCCTGGTGTGCAGCCAGACCGTGTGATTCTCAATGCATGTATAGGCTGGCACGCACACAACGTTCGGCTTCCGCCAGACAGGGTGGGCTCGAGACATGTCATAGACGTAAAAGGAGCGCATGGCGGATTAGCAGATCCAGGGCTTCATTCAGGCTCCGCAGGCCGACAGTATCTCCAGTAGAACAGTTCACTTGATTATATTTTGATAATTGGGAAGAATGAATATAAACATTCCTAATAGGTTGAAGATTAATACACTCAGAAACATAAGGATGATTATATTGATAAACTGCCGTTTGATAATTTCCAAAAACTTCAGTAACAGACCGTAATTTATTAGCATCAAAACTTCCATTCAAAATATAGTCAGCATATATTATGTTCATGTGGTTTTCCACTTCCGGCAATCAAGAAAGCGCGGCAGCCTTACGTCATCATTACGCTTGATCCGCTCTCTGAGCACTTTCGCGGTCGAAACGCTGTTGGCTTTGCGCGGCGCAGAACTTCCAAGCTGGCGGGGCGTGCTGCAACTCAGCTAAACGCGAACTCGAAATCATCGCCAAGCCGTTGGGGCTGCTTCATGAAGCACTTCTCAGCGGACGTAGTTTCCTAGCCCCTTGCGCACAGAAACTCGCAGCTACTCTCTGCCCTTGCAATTTAGTATTATCAACAACACCGTCTATTTGTGCTCTTCATTCTGTCGCCTATTCTGTGCCAGTATATACTCCTTCATCTAATTGTAATGCTAAATAATGGACAGTAGTATTATCTTCATCTGGAACTAATGGAGAAAATATAGAAACCCTGCTTGTATTGAATACCACGAGTTAGGTAATGTTACTTCGTGAATGTAGCAATGAACACAATTATAAGTTTGTAATGTTTCTGGCAATTAAAGCTTGGAATTTGTTGGTGTGCCATGAACTTTATGCGCGCTGTCAATATAAACCTTCTTATATGCAAGCATTAATGATTAATTGAGAAATTATTTTATAATTGTAATTATATCATTAACCATAAAAAGTTTATTTATGACATGAAGCATGGGACAATTAAACATTATCAACCTTACAAGAAAGCAACTACAACAACTGATGTCATGAAACAAACTCACAGAATATTAAACGATTTTTACCCTAATTCTAATTTAACTGATGCCCAAGGATTAAGTAGAGTATATGGTAATGGTAAAGGATTTTATATTGATGGTGGTAAAATGTATGTAGCAGGAACATTCGGAAAAGGACCGTTTGGAGGTGCTGCTAATGACATTCTGTCGGATGTAGGACTACCGTTTAAGATGACAAAATACTCACAACGATATAAAGACACTTCAAAGGCATTGGATGAAAACAATAAAGTTAAACATTTGGTTAGTCACTCATTAGGTTCGTTTGTGTCTGCTCAGTTAGCAAAATATTATCCTGAAACAGAATTCAGTTTAACCACTTACGGAGCACCTTTTATATCATCAAGGTCTAAAATTACTGATGATTACATTAATTTTAGAAGTATCTTAGACCCTGTCAGTATTGCTGACCGTGGCGCTGTAACTGTTTATGCTGGTTCATTAAATCCACTCACCAACCACGATTACATAACTGGATACGGAGACCAAGGAAAAGATGTTTGAAGAAGCGTTGAACCTGTAAAGAATGTATTGTAAATTTACGAGAGTTTCCCCTTATATATTCCTAAAAATAAAAGAAAAGCCCTCCCAACCCTAAAAAGGCTCTTGACAGGGTCACGACCTGAAGAGGTAGGTCACGATGAAAATGGGGACAGCATTGAGCATGAACCCCAGACCCATTTTTCACTCCAGCGATGCGAGGCCGTGAGGGTTCATGTTTGCCGACGCCTTTTGTGCCAAATAGCTGTTGGGGGTTTGGTCAAATACCACATCAGGGCTTGGGCAATGACGGTGAGATGTCAAACTCACATGGTGGCATCTGTTGGGCCACGCTTCTCCACAATGTTCATCAAGGACGTGGTAACATTGTTCCAGGTGATGATGCCTTTGACATCATCGCCGAATTCACACAAGAGAGCCAAATGAAGCACTGACTTTAGGGCATGTGCGCAATCATCGCACATCTTCTTGGCATTGCTGATTTGAAGCATCTTGTCAGCATGGAGATGGCTGTGATCTTCTTGTCGGTTTTTTTCCATGAGGTGAAGATTGATGATGCTGTTATGATTTGATGGTGTTTGTTGTCTGTTTTGATTTATGGGTTTTATGAATGAGTTATTTTGAATGTTGATGCTGTTTTGTTTTGTTGGTGTTTGTTGCCTGTTTTGTTTTATGAGATTTATGACACATATTTTATTTTTTGTTGATTGTTATGAAATTTATTTTACTTCTCTCAACATATGTTTTACTATTTTCCCGCTCCCCCTCACCCGCACCCACCCCAAGTCAGGGCGTCAGCTGTCTAACACTGGCTGCGCCAGGGTTTTGAGCTGCAGGTTGGACGCGATGAGTCTCACAGAGCTTCTTCTGGCTACTCAGGACGAATCGAACAAAGCTAGCCGCGGTTCGGGCTTAACCCCGCTCTTGGGTTGGTGGTCAGGTAATGGGTTGATGGGTTGGTGGCTTGGCGGGGGTTGGAGTTGGTGGGTTGGTGGTGTTGATGGGGGTTGGTGGGGGTTGGTGGGGGTTGGGGGGGGTTGGTGGGGGTTGGTGGGGGTTGGTGGGTTGGCTGGCTGGCTGGCTGGTTGGTTGGTTGGTTGGTTGGTTGGTTGGTTGGTTGGTTGATTGGGTGGTTGGTTGGTTGGCCAGTTGTTTGGTTGGTTGGGTGGTTGGTTGGTTGGGTGGGTGGGTGGGTGCGTGGGTGGGTTGGTTGGTTGGTTGTTTGGTTGGTTGCGCAACAGTACACCATGCATTCCCACTGGGGTGTAATTCATGCTGACTACCATTGCATGGCTCAAGATGAGAAAGGTGCATTTGCTGCCTTGGTTGATTAGCAGAGATTCGTCTCTGATTTCCCCAAGCTCGAAGATTCAGGAGACCTTAGGGAAACCTGAGAGGTGCCATGGCACTTGGACAAGATGAGGATTCTGCAGGAAGGCTAGGACTTCCCGTGCCAGGGACATATTTGAGCATGTTCCTGCCAGATTCAACAACGATTATGGACCGCGTTGAGGCACTGTAGCGGGGAACCAGGATGCCACAGACAGAAGGTTTCAGAAAGATTCAGAATTCCCAAAGGCTGCGTTATTTGTTACCAAATCTGTGCAGTGATTCAGCAAGGCTAGTAGTCAGGCAGAACATTGGATGCAATGGTTATGAAACCTGGAGGAGATTGCGTTCCACATTTGCATTGCCGGATGCAACGCGGCATATGAGTTTGATCAGCAAGATTTTGGAATTCAAGCTTCACTCCAACACATTTGAACAAGATCTCAACACCTGGGAGAGCATTAAGGCCAGATATGAATCTCAAACCGGCCAAGCCATTCCTAATAGCATTCTGGTGGCTACCCTCTTGAACAAGACAACAGGCCCATTGCAACAGCATTTGGGGCTCAATGCTTCGGCGTTGCTGACCTATGAACAAACATAGGAACATGCCAGGGAATGACAACCAAGGACCAGCGCCCATGGAAATTGGGGCGCTGAAAGTCAAAGGAAGAGGCAAAGGCAAAGGATTCAAAGGAGCCAAGGGATCACATTGGTCATACAACAAAGGAGCATTCAGCAAAGGAAAAGGAAAGGGAAAGGATTTCAAAGGAAAAGGCAAAGGAAAGGACCCAAAAGGCAAAGGAAATCCAAAGGAAAAGGAAAAGGGTCGATTGCAAGCTGCTGGATTTGCGGTGGTTTCAGGACAGTCAGATCCCAGAGACTCCTGCTGAGCAGTGACACACAAACATTGGCTCAACTCCCATTCGACCAAAGGCCAAGCCAAAGGCCTCATCATTTTTGATTGCTTCACTCATTGAGTTCTGTCACCCCAGGATCCTCTTTTCAGATTGCTGCCACTTGTGCGCCAATTCATCTGCTGGTGAAGGCGAGAGTTGGATGACATTTGGAGAGCATGAACGATTTTTCCAGTCGACGTGTTGCTTGAACACTGGATTGGATAGCATGCCATGTTCGAGTGCCGGATTGATTGCCCCTGTTCCCGGACAAGACTTGTTGGATTGGTATGATGAACCAACCTCAGTGAAGGATTCGTTTCATTCCATGACCACCTTGAAGGAGTGCGGCTGTGATCGCTTGAATTCGAAGTTTGTTGACACATTTTTGCATGAACAGTTGATTTCAGCAGTTGAGGAATCCACTCCGTGGGTCCTATTTGATTCAGGAGCATCTGCTCATTGCTGTCCACCAGACTTTGGTGAACAATAGCCATTGCTTCCATGAAATGGAAGTGGCCCACCATTGAAGAGTGTCACAGGACAGCCGTTGAACATGTGTGGGAGAAGATTGGTTGGCTTGAACTTGGATGGACAAGATAGCTTCATGCATTCTTATGTTTGACGTGCCTTATCCGATATTGTCAGTTGCACGATTGCTTCTGCAGTATTCCTAGGTCCGAACATTCTTCCATTTGACAAACCCCAATTTGAAGAAGCGTGTCAAGAGTTTCACTCCAAGTTTGGTTCAGATTCTTCAGGGACCATGGCACCCACATTTAAGCCCGCAACGATAGTTGGGAACTTGATCCGGCGTCACAAGCGCGCAAGGCGTGCGCTATTCACGCCAGGTGGCGCCAAGGACAGGCCGCTTCCTGTGGAAGATGCGGCGTCCAGACGCACCACTTCCGTTCGATTCGAAGATGGACGTGAGGAGACCATCGTCGACAATTGGCGGACGATAGATTCTCCGCAACGGGCGTTGGATCAGTACTGGATGGGGAGGACAGAATTCCTGTTGCAATGGCAAGGCGATGGACGGGAAAGCAATCCACTCAGGAAGCGTCAGTGCCAGCAAAGAAACCGCACTTGAAAGCACAACCGTCTGCAGACATTGGCCAGGATGATTATTCCGGGTCAGTGAAGGAGAAGTGAAGGAGATTGTGGAACGGCGATTGGGCATGAGTGACCCTGAGACAGGAGGACTATTCGGACATGATGAATGGTACCTCACACCCAAGTTTGACATTAGGATACACCGTGAGTGGCGGAGTTGTCTGTATGTGCCAGATGAGGAGACCGATTCGGCCGCTAGCCACATTTGTGTTCCTCGACGGGAGGCTCCAGTGGATTCACGACCCCAGAAACTAATGCTACGGAATTTCCTGAGCCATTCCATCCTTCGAACGGAACAACACACGCCAATCCCATTCCACTCAGTACGTCAGTGGCCGTGAGCAATTTCACCTGAATCACCCATGAAGGCGTAATCCACCTGAATCACAGGTTGCCGCACCGAAGTCGCACGACTTTGGTTTTGCTTGCTCTTCGACCTGACGCAAATCTCACACCATGATCTGAATGGCAGATGAGTCAACTCATGTTCACGAATCTCCTCGCCCGTCGGCTGCCGACATCTCCGGAATGTCCGGGTTGCTTGCTTCCAAGAATTGCTGCGACTGCCGACGGAAGATCGCATTGTGTATGCGCAAGCAGAGTTGAGGAAATTTGTGTTGGAGATTGGAAGGACATTCGGGATTGTCCAGTGCGACCCTGAAGCTTCATTAAAAGCCTTGGTTGAGGCAGTTACGGGTGACACTGGTGGATTGTCATACCGTGAAGCCCCCACAGGCTGGAAGCAAGCTCAGGGGTCCATTTCCAACATGCGCGTTGTATTCGTGCGTTGAAGCTTGACATTCAGGATAGGCGCGGCATGTCAGTCAGCGTGATTCGCCATGGTTTCCTTGGATTGTTAAGCGCTCCATGTGTCTTCTAAACAGGTTTTTTCGTCGCTCGGACGGAGTGAAACGACGATGGGGAAAGAAGTATGGAGGTGCATTGTGTCGAATTGCTGAGTCTGTGCAGTTCCGATTGCCTGCGCCCAAGTCTGAACCATCGTGCCACAAGTTGACGAGCAAATAGAGGAGCCAGATCAAGATAGGACTGACTTGTCAGTGGGGTAGGGATGGACGCGAGGTCATGAGGACATTGACAGAGATCCTGGAGAACGTTCGGAGTCTCCAACCAATAGTCGCAGATTGGCAGAGGCAAGAGGCATTAAGAAAACCAGTGGGCAGGCGTGAAGCGGATTCTACTATAAACCACATTTCTGCCATTCCGCCATGCGAGTTCCGTTGCACATTGGTTGAAGATTGGAGGGTTGCTACAGTCACCACGCGTGAGTCATTGGACTTGCCCATTCATGTAAACCAGGATGAAGAAGAATTAGGAAACATGAAGAAATTGCCAGAATTCGCCAAAGATTTGGGAGAGGCAGGAATGAACAAGGAAATGAATCCCATGAAGGACTTTGATGCGTGTGTAGAAGAGAAGATTGAGGATTTGACGCAGGAAGAAGTTGATTCTGCAATTTCAGTGAAGTGCTAAGTCTTGGAAAGGAGCAGAAGTGAAGTGTAGATTGGTAGCCCGTGGCTTTGACCAATACATTGAAGATAAGGATGACACATTCGCCTCTACTCCAAGCTTGTCCACCTTGAAGTTGTTGATTGCGTTGTCGGTTGCCATGAATTTGGATGTTGTGCTTGCAGACGTGTCCACTGCATTCTTGTGTGTCGACGTTATTGCAGAAGGTTGTTGTCACTCCCCCAAAGGAGTATTACCCTCAAGGGGGCGTGCTTTGACGATTAAAGAAGGCGCTGTATAACCTGAAAGGTTCGCCAAAGGCATGGCAACACCATTTAGCCAAGACCATGCGTGACGCGGGGCTCGAGCGTTTGAAGTCAGATCCGAATTTGTACCGACACAAAACCAAGAAATTGTGGGCGTTGGACTATGTTGATGATTTGATGTTTGTAGGTGAGCAACGTGACATTGATGGTGAAATGCAAGATTTGAAGAAAGTGCTTCTGATCCGGTAGACAGGTGAATTGAGTGAAGGTAAGACAGTCTCATTCTTGGGACGTCAGATTCGCCGAACATCAGATTGCATGTAGTTGTTCATGTCTCCTGATTACATTGGCCGCATGTTGGACTCCTATGGCAAGACTAAGAGCAAGCCAGCTCAGACGCCAGGAGGACATTCATTGCGGAAGCTGCTCGGCAACGAACTGTTGGATTCGAAAGAGCATAAGTTGTATAGGAGATTGGTTTGACAACTGTTGTGGCTTGCAGCGTTGCGTGTTGACATTATGTATGCCGTCAAGGAGTTGTCACGAGGATTGGTTGCTCCCACTGAGGCACACAAGGTAAAGTTGAAGACATGGTTGAACCAAGGATTATGTCCATGTCACGAGACCTGATCTCCAGATTGGCAAACAGGTGAAACCGTTCGACATAAAGGTTTATGTGGACAGCGATTGGGCAGGTTGCACCGATTCAAGGAGGTCCACATCAGGAGCAGCATTGAACATTCTCGGCATCAACACTCAGCACACAGCCATCTTGAGCCATGCAATGGTAATCAGCATGAACTACACCCCAGTGGCAACGCGTGGTGTACTTTCGCACGCCCCCTTGATTAATGGAAAATGTGGAATTAATCCACACTCCACTCAAACAAATGCATTCCAAAGAATGCAAAGCTGCCTTGAAATCCTTTTCTCTCTGCAGTATGTCTATGCACAATGGGTGACCTAATCGTCACCAAAAGAACTGCAATGCTGGGAAATGCAAAAGGACAAATGGTTGAATGTGTTGTGGACTCGAATCACACACAGAATGTACTCCAAGAGTATCCCCCCAGAATCACCAGAAAACGTCCTCTCATTGTAGTGTTGTCATGGATGAATCCAAACCAAAGTAAACTGTCATCTACAGAAATGTTGCAACTGTACCTCCACACAAATGCCGAGGAGTGAATCACAAATAAGTGGCAAATCGAACCAGGCAAAGTCGCGATAGCCAGTGAACATAGAACCCCAATACAAACTCAGTGTGGAATAAGTGCATCCAAATCGGTGCCTGGCCAGAATCAAAATCTCAGCTCCACCAATGCTGAATCACAGCCTCGCTCTGTAATATGAAGCTACCAGTGACTTGGGAATCTCCTGTGATGTTTCCACAGCGAGGGACGTTGTTGCGCCACCCAACATGACAGAGACGTTCTCCAGTTCTGAGGGGAACTTGACAATGATCAATGAACGTCATGTCGCCAAATGTGTCTAATCAAAGTCCACTTGTCTTGCCTCTTGATTGTGCTCGCTTTGCTACGAGGCAAGCTTCACATTTACTGCGGACCTTCTCCAAAAGGTCGTGGGTTGACGTTGGCGAGGTGCTCTTTCGAAGTCGACATTGTTTGGTATTCACGTGATGATGCTGGAGGGGAAGCTTCTTCACCTCATCTGGCTGCGGCAGAATTGATTATGGATTCTGCCTACGGCAAGCGGAGGTGTCGTCAGTGGTCGATCGGCCCTTCTTTTAGAGAATTGTCAGCAAGACAGCGCCTGTGAAGGAAGTCCCCAGTTCTGCGGCGGGAGGAATCGTGATGCTTTCGTCGTCATCGTCGACATAGTGGTTGAGGCCTTTCGCAGCAATGAAGCCGCGATTCTTCAACTTTGCCACGCTTGCAAAATGGAGGTCCTGCCCTGCACCTGATACTGGAACTGGCTTCGGCCAGGAGTGTCACGTGCAAGTTCCTCATTCGACCAATGCTGAGGCGTATCCGCACGGCGTAGCTGTTCCTCAATCAACAAAAGTGAGCTTGGTGTCTGCCAGAATATGCTCACAGGAGAAGGTTCTGTGTTGGATCAATGGCCTGTGTATTGTCAAGGCTGTTTTGATGTTGGAAAGCATCATGACTTGCCCTTCTCTTCGACGGCGGCAAAGTCCGCCTCCCCTTTTCCGTCGCGGCATGCGTCGGAAGGATTGATACTTGAGTTTCCTTTTGTTTTCTGTCTTTGCCTAGCCCTTTTCCCAGTAGCTGATCGTAGGGATCCTTATGTTCGTTGCCGTCTGCGTTGCTCCTTTCTGCCCTTGATGCCGTCCTGATCTAAGGTTAACGCCCTGCCACCTCCCTGGTTGCGATTGCGTCATGATCTTGGAGAATGACTCCTCATCTTCGGCCCCATGAAACCCTTCATTTGCGTTGTCGTCTTCAACCCGAAGCCTTCTTCTCCTTCGTATTCTGGTGGTGGTGAGATTGTGATACTGTGTCTTCAGGATGTTTCTCAAAGACATTGCGCTGATCAGTCTTTCTTGCTGATCTGATAGTTCACTTTCAGCGGTGAAGAGTTCTGCGATAAGGTTTTCGTTGAGTGGAAAACGTGTCGTGGTGTCCCTGATGCGTTCCGTCGACATACTGTCTCAACGTGTACAGGTCGACCGGGTTCAGGAACTGCACGGGCGGCGCTCCAGCCCTGAGTCGGTTGCTGAGGCTGCGCGGCTCTTCTGTCATTTGCGCTGATTGGAGGCAACGTAGTGACTGCGCGCGGGAGTCAGGTCGTTTCAATCTGCGTGGCAAGATCTCGAGAATTTGGACATGAGTGTGAGAACTTCTGTGTTGTGTTTCCTGTGATTGTGGAAACTGAGGAGTCGAAAGAGACACACGTTCTCAAAGAGTTGTCAAGCAACTCGCGACACATGAGTGCGTTGAGGGCCCCAGCTCTCTCCTCGCTCATACGATGGCGGTTGCTTCGCGGTCATCGATGAGTTCAGTGTTTCTCTACTCCACAAAGAGGTCCGCCGGCGCGTGTGACCCGGGACAACTAAAAGGCGAAGACACCCACGCCGGTCAGATGAGAACCTGACGCCTGATGGACCAGTACTGGAAGTTCCTGGTTTCTGTATTGTTGATCTTGGTCCACGTGGAGCGAAGCGCAGCAAGCTCTCTTTTTTTTGCGAATAGTAAAGAGACGCGCCTTTAGCAATCGTGTGAAAAAGTCTCAGAAGGCCAGGTGTTAGGCGGGTCAATGGGTCAAGCCTTCATCCTCTTTTAGTCTCCCGACAGGATCCAACAAAGAACGCCCAGGCGGAGGCCCAGATCAGACAGGCGCGGGCGTTGAATGCGCCCCTCTGTCGGGCTTCGTTAAGCGCCAGGCCGAGCAAGCCAGCGTTGACCAGCGCCCCCAATGGCCCAACGTGCCATTGCGACAAACTAGGATTGCTGATTTTCAGGTACTTCACTGCCTTGGCACAGGACGTTGCGCAATGGAGGGGCATGAGCAAGACAATCCTCTTCATTTGATCTTTCTGCGCAGGAGCTGGCAAACGCAGAGAAACCTGTTGTGGCTCGGCAGCTTGCAGGCCGGCGCAGGAAATGAGTGTGAACCCCGTCACAATCACCGACAGGCCTGCTGCTCAAGAACGGCTTGGCTGCGAAAGCTGGGTCTCAGATTTTGGACGGATCATGAGTTGGTGTCACTTGCATTTTCCTAGGATGCGGTGAAAGACCGTGAGCTCAAAAACCGATGGGCGGCTTTGCTGGGATCTCAAAGTGGGGAGTCCAGTTCCGAAACTGGCAAGTTGACAGGCCAGCAGCGAGCCGAAACTTGGTGAAGGAGGCCGGAACCGGCACCCGAGGGCAACCAGGAGGGCGCTCCGGATGCGGATGCCGCACCGGGCCAGGCCACCACCTCCGCTTTGATCTCGCCGCAGACGGACGTGGGTAAGGCTGCAGCACAGGCGCGGGCGCTGCGAAAACCAAATGTTCGTGTCGTCCAAATGCCACAAACGCAGGTGCTTGCCAAGATTGGGGCCATAGAGATTCCGCCGAACGAGTGGCCGGGGCTGGTGCCGTCCTTCAGTTCCCGATTTCCGAGGTGCTTCCGTTCCGCCTTAGGTTCCGCTTTTGCTGCAGCACGTGACCAACACCGATGCCAGAGCCCGGCAGGCACGGCCATGGCGAGTCCCTCATCCTGAAACTCTTAAACGGTGTTTCCAGTAGCTGTATTGCAGCTGTATTGTATCTATCACATCTTGCAAACTGCCTTTGGCAGATCTCCCTGGTTTGCCTGGGATATCTTTGCGAAGAGTTGGTGCTCGTACAGGAGGAGCGGTTGCAGCTTGCAACTGCAAATGGTGTGCTTGCAAGAGCAGTATGTCGCAATGCCATTGCGCACCGTTCGTGAAATGCCTATGCTCGCAGGAGGGGGCCAATATCAGCGATGATATTGCAAACAACATCCTGACAGCAGTGCGGACCTCGGCCCCGTCGGCTCAAGTCCCCAGATTTCCAAAAGTCGTGCCTGAGGTTGTTCAAGGCATGCGAGACCCAGATCCTCAGACCAAGCTGGAGGCCACACCTTCGCTTTTGGGATTCCGTTCTCCTTTTCAATTCGCCATGTGCAGGCGACCAGGGCCTTCTACCACGCAGTAGTATTGGCCAAGAGGACCGCGCGAAGCTTCTGATTCTCCAAGTCAAACGGATGCCTCGAAATCCATGGCTTATCGTTTGAAGGGACCAATTTTTTTCCCTCTTGGTGTCTGCGTAGAGAGGCAACGGAGAAAGAAAAAACACGGCCAAAAAGGACTAGTATTGCTGCGACGCCGATGTCCGGCTGGTAAAGAACTGAGAACTTCAACTGTTTCCGGGCAAAGCGTTTGAGCAACTGTGGAACACAATGATGGCTTATTGTGTGGGGAGGACATGGCCAAATCACATTTTCCAAGAGAAGCTTAGTTTTGACGGCTAGAATGTCCAACATGTTCACGCGCGCCTGAGAACCAAGCCATCGATCGACGCACTGAATGAATATATTTGGGGAGAGGTTCGCATTGGGCGCAGGCGGTCAACGCGGTCAACCAAACACTTTTTTCTACACAGCCGAGCAAATGGACAATGCCAGCTCTGGGAAGCGGCCGGCTCTCGTTGCGCTCGTCCCGCATATCCCGCAACACGCACGCGCAACCAAAACAAAGGCACAAAACAACCCAAGGAGGTGACGGCTAAGAACACCCGAAGTGTAGGGGTGAATCCGGTGAAGCAATGCTGTTGGAAGGGAGCCCATTGCATCCAGCGCTTTGAAACAACCGAGTCACATGACAGCTCATTCTTTTAAAATCCTACTTTTCGCAGATATTCGTTGGATGTGGTCTCGTGTTGCTTGCCCATCGCGTGGTGTAAAGTTTATGGCAATTATCTTCATTTTGCCCTTGGCTTCTTCTCTGCCCGCGTCCAAATGGTCCCCGCTAGATGTTAACAGCGACCTGCAGCTGATCTGATACTGTCAATGCTGGAGATGCAAGTGCTGATGCGACCGGTGATGCTCGCTGGTGCGGAATCGAGCGCCCCAGAGTGCAACTACAAAAAAAAGATTGCTGCGTTTCTTGTGTCCAAAACCCTGGCTGTAGTCGGCGGATGTTAGGGTCGCGAGACAAAGGTTTCAGGGTCGTAGACAAAGTGTGCGCCCGTCTGGCAGATGACTTGGGGCAATGCTGTGTTGGCGTTGGAACATGGGTGGCGGAGCAGCCCGGATGCACTACCAGACTAGGCTGCAAGTTCGAAGCTTCAAAGAATGAGGCTCCTGAAGGTGCAGCACATTTAATTGTATGTCGTTCAAGAACGAAGGACCGCATTCGGCTTTCTTTCAGTTTGAGAAAGCCTAGTTCAGACGGTCAGCAAAAGAGTTAGGCGCGAGGCAAAGCATGATTTCACTCAGTGACATTAACGCGCAGCATGCAGTTAGTTTTTGTGTTTGTATCTGTGTGGTGCCTCAGGAACTTTAAGAATCAAGTTGAGCGGGACGTCATCATGGCGGTTGCCGCCTCAGGATTCTTTGCACACCGAGTTTCGTTGGTTCCATGCATTCCAGGTCATGAATGACACCTGCCGCTTCACGGCAGCTCCTGACGCTAGCAACCCGGAGCCGAAGGGAGAACTGAGGGAAGGTCACAGAATTGTGGATTCGTGCAGCGTGTGCAGCGTGTGCAGTGCGTGCAGTTCGCCGCCAACCCGATTTGGCTGAGGTTCAAATTGCAGCCTTCGAGTGCTTGGTGCAGATTGCCACCGAGTGACACCCGGAACTTGCAATCGCCTTCGAGTGACACCCGGAGCTTTTTGACTTCAGGTACTACGATTTCCTCATGCCGTGGCCTGGCACAGGATTTAAAGAGCGTGGCTGAGAAAGATCTTGGGCATTTCATGCTCTGCAAGGTACATGAACGGCTTGGGCTTGTTGACTCTGGAGACCATCAAGTCGGCACCAGAGAAGGCAACCCTCTCAGCTCCAAAGTGAAGCCCGCCCTCGTGTCCGCCAGGTGGCAATCCCTGCCATGGAATTCTGGTCCACTATTTGTGATGAGGCTTCCGCGCATATCACTTGTCAAATGAAATGACAGAAACTCAGACATTCACAATATTGATTAGGATATGAACTCTAATGTTGGCACTTGATTAATAAAGCCCCCCCCCCCGAACAATGGAGGCGCCAAAACAATGGGGGCGCACTTTTGGGACGTCCAAACAATGGAGGATTTTGGGGCCCAATTCTCCTTTAGTATTGCAGCCACTCCCTTTTTGCAATTCTACTTTAGTATTGCAGCCACTTCCTTTTTGCAATTCTACTTTAGTATTGCAACCACTTCTTGCTGAGCATACTTTTTGGAATACTACTTTAGTATTGCAACCAAGGAATGCTTTTGAGTAAAGCAACTGATAGTTTATTTTCTGGGAGGGGGGGGGCTTGCAACTAATGTGGTCCCCTAAAAGAATGATATGACATTATTGTGGTTCAGTGGGGTCTGTGAGGGGTACCCTTGTCCTGATTTTTTTGCATTTTGTACACACGGTTTAGGAAAGAGTTTGCAGTTTCAGGGCTGGGGGGGGGGTTTTCAATTTTCAGAGGTTTCAGCTGGCTTTGGGTTCTGTGGTTGGGCAATCAATTGAAAGGGGAATGCTTTTGAACAAGTGGGCTACCAATTGAAAGGGGGTGCTTTTAAGCAAGTGGGCCACCAATTGAATGGGGGATGCTGTTGAGTAAAGCAACTGATAGTTTATTTTTTGGGAGGGGGGGGGCTTGCAACTAATGTGGTCCCCTAAAAGAATGACATTATTGTGGTTCAGTGGGGTTTGTGAGGGGCACCCTTGTCCTGATTTTTTTGCATTTTTTAAACACGGTTTAGTAACGAGTTTGCAGTTTCAGGGCTGGGGAGGGTTTTCAAATTTCAGAGGTTGCAGCTGGCTTTGGGTTCTGTGGTTGAGCAACCAATTGAAAGGGGAATGCTTTTGAACAAGTGGGCTACCAATTGAAAGGGGATGCTTTTAAGCAAGTGGGCCACCAATTGAAAGGGGAATGCTTTTGAGTAAAGCAACTGATAGTTTATTTTCTGGGAGGGGGGGGGGGCGGGGGGCTTGCAACTAATGTGGTCCCCTAAAAGAATGACATTATTGTGGTTCAGTGGGGTTTGTGAGGGGTACCCTTGTCCTGATTTTTTTGCATTTTTTAAACACGGTTTAGTAAAGAGTTTGCAGTTTCAGGGCTGGGGAGGGTTTTCAAATTTCAGAGGTTTCAGCTGGCTTTGGGTTGTGTGGTTGGGCAATCAATTGAAAGGGGAATGCTTTTGAGTAAAGCAACTGATAGTTTATTTTCTGAAAGGGGGATGGTTTTGTAAATTAAAATTGAATTGTGGAGTTGTTTTTGGAATTTTCCCCCCTGGCAAAAACTTTCAATTATTCTGGTCCCCCTAAACAATGGGTGCGAACCAGAATAAGGAAAACAACTTGCAATTATTGACACCCGGTTGATGAATCAAGTGCCAACATTATATACGCATAATAGTTTACTGCTCCGCCGCCGGCCCCGCATGTATGTGCGGGATGGATGGATGGATGGACGTGATGCATGGACGGACGGACGGACGGATAGATGGATGGATGGATGGATGGTGGCGGAACCGTGCCTACCGTGACATCTGAAACCTATGCAGCATCACCAACAAGTTTATGAAAAAGATCTGGATCTCGAGACGAGCTACTGGCAGAGCCAACCTAGTTTGATGATCACCATGAGATGAATCTTCAGTTATCCTCATGTGCCAGCCACCCTTCCCGTGCGCCTCCCCTTTGGTGAGGGGGTCGGCGGATATAGTCAGAAAGCTTCAGATGCAGATGGGTCCCTTGTGCCAAAATGCCTTGCGCAATGCATCTAGCCAGTGACACGCGACTGAATTTCCTGCACAATTCATGCAAAATAGGAAACGCATTGGACTCTGTTCCATTTTGGCAGTGAAGGCTGTACCATTTTTGCCTCTGGACGTTGTACCTTTCTCCAGTAAAATACAAAGTAAAGAGTAAGATTTGGACCTGTGAAAAGCAGCAAGGGAAGTGCCAAAGGTACTTCAGGTAGTTTACTGTTTTACTTTTTCCTGGCAATGTAAGACGGTTTTTGCTTAGGGCAGGTTCATATTTTACTTTTCATGGGTCCAGAGTTTTACCGTTTTACTTCTTCATCTTTCACTGGAAAGTGAAGTCGTAAAGATACCTGAAGTAAAACTTTAGAGCCTCCGGCTCAGTCCGCCGACATTGGCATCTAGCTTGTCTCCTTCTTCCTCTCGCCCGTGTCCCCCTAGTATGCTCTTCTGTTCTCTCTGGTTCCCCCATCCTCCCCGACACGCCGAGCAATGTCGGCGGAGTGTTGAGCGCCACCAAGAGGGTGCTCCCAAAAAGGGCGCCGAACCATGCCTCCAAGTAAAATGTTGGGAAAGGGTGGCGACCAAACAGGGCGTACAATTGCGAACAGGAAGGCTCGCCGTTTAGGGCACCTTAGTGTTGGGTGGTATGTCATGGCCACTGCGTGTCATTTTGGCGGGGTGCGCGGATAAGCTGATTTCTGAGGGGTGTTGAGGTTGCCCCTTGTATGGCACTCTTGCTTGCGAGAAGCGTGGCTTAGCATGGCAAGTCTGGGAGCGGAAATGTGGAATTGCAGTTTCAGTGCTGACCAGTTGGATACAGGAAAAGTTCTCGGATTTCGAAGGTGGTATCATGATTTCATCCATTACTTCGCTTGCTTCCTATGTGTTGTTATCCTGTGGCAGTAGTGTAAAAATGTGTAGTCTTTTCGGGGGACGTTCTGCAAATGGAAGACCAGCCTTTTTTGAGGGACTGAACAGCAGTGGAGCTGATTTTTAAGGGGGAACTGCAGAGCGGAAATGTGGAATTGCAGTATCCGACACGAAGGACATTGGGGGCGACACTTGGAAGGAAGCTGGGGTTGGGGAATTTGCCGGGACATTTGGGGGAAACTGGGGGGGAAATTGGGGGGAAGTCGGATGGAAATTGAAAGGAAAGTGGGAGGGAATTGGTGAGACAGTAAGGCGCAATTTGCGGGGAAGCATTGGGGGAAATTAGGGGAAATTGGGGGGAAATTGGTGCCAATTGTCAAGGAAATCGGAAAACACCATGTTTTTTCAATGGTGTCAGCAAAGGAAAAAAACCGAACACCGTGTGTCTCAAAGTTTTCCGCAAAAGGCAGCACAAAACCTCAGCCGGCAGAAAGAGGCGGCGGGAGGATTCGAGCCTGGGACCCCCGTTACCCGCTCCCCGAAGACTACGTTTAGTGGAACGTCATCAAAGTGCCGCGCGGTACGCGGGGGAGGGGGGGGGGGGGGGGGGCGGGGGGGGGGGGGAGGGGGGGGGGGGGGGGGGTGGGGGGGTGGGGTGGGGGGTAGGGGGGGGGGGGGGGGGGGGGGGGGGTGGGGGGGTGGCTGGGGGGGGGGGGGGGCGGGGGGGGGTGGGGGGGGGGGGGGGGGGTGGCGGGGGGGGGGGGTGGCGAGGGGGGGGGGGGGGTGGGGGGGGGGGGGGGGGGGGGGGGGGGGGGTGCCGACCGAAAAACCATGCGTATTTGACGTGTCCCGGGGGGAGACTAAGGGGGGGGTTATCCTCTATCCTCTCTTAGGTATCCAATAGTCCTCTCTTAGGTATCCGACACGCCGAACAATGTCGGCGGATATAACGCAGTTAACTTTGGGAGTTTTGCCTGTTTTGCTGTTTTTTGAAGGAACGAACCATTCTTTTGTCAGTTGTGCTTTGCCAGAAGTAGATAAGCATACAATTGTCCAACGTTTTGGGGTCATTCTGCCACTGTTTCAAGTCCACCAACAAACCCAGTGTTTTTGCGTTGGTGCCATATGTATATGTGTATATATGGTATGTGTTATTGTGCATTGTCGCCAGACGGTGCTTGCTTCCTCCGGTGTCCAGGAGCTTTACTTGATGGACCTCATGGCCAGTGGCCAGGCAACTGGTGGCAGAGCTTCGCTGAACCTCATCCAGCAGGTGCGCACGCCGGGTTCGCTTTACACTCGTTACACTCTTCCTTTTTGCGTTCCTTTCAGTCAGATTCCTCGAAGGAACTTTAAAAGGAGCTTAGACTTGCCGTGTTTTTGTGCCAGGCCCTGCCCCATCTTGTGCCGCTGCTCACAGAGCGGTAGCCTCAACTTGCCCGCGTTCCTGGCTCGCGGACGCGCTCGCCTTGAGGACTTTGACCAAACGTCAGAGCGAGGACGACGACGACACCTGGAACTTGGCCATGGCAGCAGGCGTGTGCACTTGAATGCACGCGGATCTGTTTTTTTTCACCAGCCAAGAGAGAAATGGCTGGTGAGTGTGTGAGAATGGATATGAGACGGAAAGAGATGTAAACAGGATTAATTAGATTAACTGGTGTGACGGAAGGAACTGGGTCGTGAGAGAGATGAATCCCTTCGTTACGGAGAGAGGTGTGACCGAAGGAAGCGATCCCAGTCTCCATGTCCACTCTCCTCTCTTTGTTCGGGAGTGTCCATGAGATGAAGGAATGGACACAGAAGGAAAAAGAGAGGAAAGGAATGGCATGTATCATCTTATCCAATTCTCCTTTGTTCCTCAGCTTGAAGATTCTTGAGTGAGATGATGAAGGTAGAAATTTCCATGATTCTAAAGTTTATTTGTTGGCAGCTTGTCTATTTAGAACCTTTTTAATATTGTTGATCATAAAAGCTTGAAAATATTAGAATTGTTTGTTAAGATAAGATGGTAAAGAGCAACCTGCAATTTTCAGAGGTACTTGCCTCGCACTGGTGGCACAGGCCGGCCATTCAGCCTGAAAGCGCGTTGCCGCTTGGGGGCCGAGGTGGTCGGTGATGCCTGCGTAGACTTGGTGCTGCAGTTTGTGAACGGCAACTTCACGAATCCTGATTGGAAGCGCCTCTGACGAATACCGCGCGCTGGGCCTCTCCGCACTGCACTCTCTGAGGTTTCGGGAAGCTGCGGTCCTGGCCTACGGCTCCATCATGGAGGTGCCATGCGCCATGCGTAGCCATGCGTAGCCATGGGCAGCCATGCGCAGCCGTGCGCAGCCGTGTCGCGATCGGACACTCGCAGGGGCCCACCAGTGAGAAGATGCGGCCCATGGTGGAGCAAAGCCTCAGCCATTTGGCGGGGCACTTTCGCGCGCAAATGGAACATGGGAGAACGTACGACCTGTGAGGTGATGGCGCTTCAAGACCCCAGTGTTGCAGTGCGCCTCCACCTGAGGCATGAGCTAGTGAGTTGCAACGGGGCAACGCAGCTTCGTTCGAGTTCCAAGCCGAGGCGACACCATTGCGTGGACGCTGGGTCGAATCGCGATGACCGGACCTCGTGGAGGAATTCACAAGAATTCGCGGTAACAGGTCGAGTCACAAGCTGAATGAGTGTGCTGAGGTTTCATCCGGCCATAGTCCCCGTGAAGCAGCTGATGCCTTTGCTGTGCGAGAAGCATCTTCGGCCTGTGTTCAAGCTTGCTTTTCTTGCTTTTTGCGTGCGGCATCCAAATTCTCATTTGGCCAAATTTGACATGGCCAATCCTGTTGTAACGGACGCGTGCCCTGCCTGCCAGATTTGCGGATGCCAAGCACGGCCAGTGTTCATTCAAGCCAATCCCCCCCCCCCCAAGCAATGCGACGATGTACATATAGGCAACAGAAACACGGCGGCTTGCGTGTTGAATTCTTGGCCAGGCTGCGCGATGTTCCCCGGGTGTCTGCCAACATTTGCTGGAATGTGCAGGTGCTGTGTCTTCTCTTCTGCCTCCCATCCTGCACACTGTGGGGCGTGGCCGCTGCCCATGTTCTGCTTGGTTGCTCGCTGAATTGTCTCAAGCATGGAGTCATTGCATTCGAACAGTTGTTATGAGTCAGACACAGAGTCTATGCGGCTAAGCACTCATGTCACACCTCTTGCTCTTGCCATCTCTTGCCACTGTGCATAGACATGTCAGCCATGTCCAAAGAGATCGTCCTATGAACTCCAGCTCAGAGTTGAATGGCAGCTCGTACAGCACATGGACCACCAAGAGCCCAGAATGGCACAGGACCAGCAGTGAAGCAGAGTCACCCCCAGCTGTCAGAAGAAAATTGACTTATTACAACGCGGCGGGCAAGAGTAGGCTCTACCACCGAGCTAGCAGGATCTTCTGTGACACTCTGACTTTCTCGATTGGTTGGTTTCTTATCATCAGTGGCGGTGTGATGATGCTTGCGGCGCTCTTTGACATGGTTTCCCTGGCGCACACGGTGCAGGGCGCCTGTATGATAAGCGGCTTCGAGTACCCGGATGGTTTTCCAGAGCAAGTGCAGAATCAAACAGTTTACCATCCTTGTCCGCTGACTCCCACTTGCCTTTTCCAGATTTCCGCGCAGTTAAGTGGAAGCGAAAAAAGCCTTCGGAGGGTGCGGCATTTCTCGATTCCGTTTGACATTTTGTCGCATGCGACGCCGGGGGAGGGCTACGCTGCAACTTCTTTGCCCGAGGCTTTGAGAAGTTGTCCCTTCAGCCCAAAGGATTGCTGCGACTTCTACGACTCGAAACGCCAAAGCTTCTGCGATGCGATGGAGCCGTGGCCGTGCTTCTTTTGGGAGTTGCGGCCGCCAGACAGCGGAAACAGCATCGTGGACCAGGCGGAGCTGGATGGGGCGATGATGGAGGTGGGCAGCAAGTGGCGCGCAACTGGGCTGCTGCTGCAGGGCTTCCTCGTGTCGGTGCTGGGCTTGGTGGTGCTGTCTTGCCGGGCACGGCGTGTGCAACGGGCGCGGGAGGAGTGCGCGCAGCGCCTGGTGAGATCGGTGGACCACCGGGCCAACGCCTGGCTGCTGCGCCTGGCGCGGCGAGCGGCGCGGTCGCGCTGCATGCGCTGCGTCTTCGCCGTGTGCCCCGTCCGCGAAGGCCTCAACGAGCTGCTGCTCCGCGACGCCGCCGCCGTGCCGCTGCAGCGCGCGGTGCGCCGCTGGCTGCGCCGCAGGCACCTGGCCGACGCTTTCAGGACCAGCCAGCCGGGCCCGAATCTGTCTTTTTTGGAGAATAATTTTATAGCAAGGCGTTTGTCCAATGCCTTCAGTGAAGCAGTCTGAAGTCTGAATGGGAGGAGCAGAGTTATCAACCACATAGAGCCTGAGGAGACGAGGACGGAGATAGTGTGTGATCCTCACAGCTCTCTCAACCTTCGCCCAGGCAAGAGGAAGTGAAGCCTTCCACGCCAAAGGTCTGCCAAAGGAGGTGTTTCCCTGAGGTGTTGCCAATGCGTCAGGACACGGGTCCAAAGGACACCAGATGGGTGGCAAAAGCACTGGACTCAGATGTAGCCAGAGCCAGGAGTACCCATGGCCAGTGTTTGCAATGCAGGGGCTGGTGGCGAAGAGTGCACCGCGGAACAGGCAAGTGAGCACTTTGTGTCGATGTTGTCCGTGCTGTTTTTTTTTCTTCAGGAAGCTGCTGCTCGACACGGGGACGCTTGGGATAGCCACCATAGCCCAAGAAAAGAACGAGTTGAAATGCGAATCCGGCCTGCCGAGGAGCCTTGACAACTTCCGGCGTTTTGTGCGCGTGCGGGCATGGGGCTCAATATGGCTCAATATGGCTCAATACTCAGTTCGCACGGGCCGAGCTCGGATAGGTGGCAAGCGCCCCCTGGGAGCTCTTGCGCCTGGAGGAGACCGAACTTCAAAGTTCCGAAGTCCGAAGTTCGAAGTTCGAAGTGTCGAGGTGGCATTGGAGCCCGGCGCACACCTGGGCATCTCCCTGGTGGGGCCGAGAGGGGCTGCGGGGCTTCTATGGGACTCTTGGCAGGCAACACAGCAAAAGGCTCCGCCATTGGCTGGGCGCTCAAGGGCCATCCCACAGGAATATGCAGATATGCATGTTTGGGGTTATAGCTGGCGCACCGGCATGCAGCGGCCACGTACTGTCACCAATGTTCTTTGCCCATGTGTTGTGCTACAAGTATTGCAAGCTGTACACGTAGGAAACCATTTGCTCAAGCATGCAGTTCATGTCGTTTGACCTCAGGTGTGCGGTGTCCGTCCAAGAAGCATCGCAGAACACTATGGCGTAAAGTGTATCTCTCAGCCATGGCAGACCATCCATGCCTTTTCAAAGTCTTGAATTCAAGGTTGGATACCCTTTGGAGGGCCATTTGTTTTGGTCTTCCTTCCGGATAGTTTTTGTTTTTGAGGGTGGGCGGCTGTTCGGCTTTTGCGACTTTTAGTTGGTTGATGCGGCAGCCTCAGCATCACCAGTTCCTCTCTGGCACGTGTCTTTTAATATTTGTATTTTTGTATGTATGTATTTAATGTATGCAATGTATGTAATGTATGTATGTGATTATGTATGTAATGTAATGTAATGTGATGGAATGGAATGGAATGCAATGTATGTATGTATGTAATGTATGTAATGTATGTATGTATGTATGTATGTATGTATGTATGTATGTATGTATGTATGTATGTATGTATGTATGTATGTAATGTATGTATGTATGTATGTATGTATGTATGTATGTATGTATGTATGTATGTATGTATGTATGTATGTATGTATGTATGTATGTATGTATGTATGTATGTATGTATGTATGTATGTATGTATGTATGTAATGTATGTATGTATGTATGTATGTATGTATGTATGTATGTATGTATGTATGTATGTATGTATGTATGTATGTATGTATGTATGTATGTATGTATGTATGTATGTATGTATGTATGTATGTATGTATGTATGTATGTATGTATGTATGTATGTATGTATGTATGTATGTATGTATGTATGTATGTATGTATGTATGTATGTATGTATGTATGTATGTATGTATGTATGTATGTATGTATGTATGTATGTATGTATGTATGTATGTATGTATGTATGTATGTATGTATGTATGTATGTATGTATGTATGTATGTATGTATGTATGTATGTATGTATGTATGTATGTATGTATGTATGTATGTATGTATGTATGTATGTATGTATGTATGTATGTATGTATGTATGTATGTATGTATGTATGTATGTATGTATGTAATGTATGTATGTATGTATGTATGTATGTATGTATGTATGTATGTATGTATGTATGTATGTATGTATGTATGTATGTATGTATGTATGTATGTATGTATGTATGTATGTATGTATGTATGTATGTATGTATGTATGTATGTATGTATGTATGTATGTATGTATGTATGTATGTATGTATGTATGTATGTATGTATGTATGTATGTATGTATGTATGTATGTATGTATGTATGTATGTATGTATGTATGTATGTATGTATGTATATGTATGTATGTATGTATGTATGTATGTATGTATGTATGTATGTATGTATGTATGTATGTATGTATGTATGTATGTATGTATGTATGTATGTATGGCGTTAATCCTAACCAAGGACTAACCCAGAATCCACGTCTCACCCGTGTCCCGACTCTCTGGCACACCCGCGAAGCGGCTCGTTGTTTTCACAGGCAGCGCACTCATTCACCGTGCGCATGTGGCTTGAGCCAAAATAGGCACGCCACTCCAACTTCCTCAAGGTGGACATGTCAACTCGCAAGACATGTCCACTCATGCAACCTCAAGCAAAAATAGCTCACTTACCAAAGCCTAATGCCTATGGCTGCAATGACAAAATCATGCATGAGAATGCCAAGATCTGCAGTCGCCCCCAGTTGCAGCCTCCAGCCGCGGCGGGGAATGCAACTCCAGAGCATTCTCATCCTTAATTGTGGGAACAGCCCCATTCTTCAAATTGCGGGGGCTCCCTATCCTATTCCACTGGGCAGTGGCCAATTCCTTATACCCTTCATCCGGCCCTGGACCTGGGCTCAGTACTGCTTCGGCTCGGCTCACCCGATCTTTCCAGCCTGGAGAGTTGCAGTCGCAGCTTCTCATTCTCAGTCTCCAGCGCCTTGTCTAGCAAGTGAACCAGCTTGCCGCTCCCATCGACGGCTAGCTTAATCCAGCTCACAAACTTCTCATTCTGCTTCTGGCTGAAGAAGACCTGATTCTGCATGGTGCCCAGCAAGGCCAAATAGTTACTGAAGAAGGCAGAATCCGAGTTGTCATACTTCTCCGCGTTGTATGCAGTGTGAATCTTATCCACGGTCTGGAAGACCTTGAGCGCCAAAGCGCTATCCACAGCGCCTCGCCCGGAAAGATTGAACACAGCCGCGTTAAGCCTGGAAAGGTGGTCAGATCGCAACGATCCCGGGGGTTTCGATTCCTTACGAATGTCGTTGAGCACCTGTTGCAAATACAACACGGCTCCCTCCGAAGTTGCCAACGGACTCGAGAAATCGTCCCTGACCAAACCTGAACTCTGCCCGCGAGCGTCATCCCGCTCCGCACTGGCCACTCTCGGTTGCTTATTCCTACTCCCGGTACCCAGCTCCTTAGCCTTACTCACTAGGCCTTGAAGGCAACCGACTTCGACATATTCACTCCTAGATGGAGCCGAACGCGACCTTAGCGAAAATCCCGGACTGGTCACTTCATCAAGAATGGGGACCGCCTGGAGGGTTTCTCCGGCGCCCCCAGCCCGATCCTCGCCTATCGTCGACGCCACACCGCCGGTCAGCGGCTGGTCGGCCCATCGCTGCCTGGCCACGATAATGTGCTGGCATTCCGTACCCAGGTCAATGAACGCTTTGCAGGTACACTTCATAACATTCCGTCCCAAGACCAACTCCTCTGTCACAAAGACATGACCCGTCCTTGT